TGACTGAGTGCCTACTCGGTGCTTTATGTCCAGGTTCGTTCCCAGTGGTGACACCGTGAGATGGAAATGATGCCCCTGTTTCTACAGATGAGGAACTGGAGGTTCAGCCAAGTTAAGGCATTTACTCTTTAAGACCACAAGCTAGAAAGGCATTGCAGGCGGGTCATTTTCTGAGTAAATACATAAGGATTTTAAACATTGCCAAGATGGGCGGTTATCTGATTGGCAGTGTTGTTCTTTCTCATTTTCCTGATCCTCTGAAGGTCGTAGCTCCCTCACCTTCTCTGTGTCTCCCTGAACTATTATCTCCTCTCCTCCCCGTACGGAATGGTTCAAGGCCAGTGAGAGACAGAGAGAGAGAGAAAAAGCAAGCCCTCAGAGCTGGTCAGAAGCACCAGCATAGAGTCCATTTATTTCTTCAAAAGGTCTCAAAGCTGGTACATGTCAGGCAAAGTTGTGACACGGTAACAGCTCTAGAAAGATGCTCCGCTTCTTAGCACGAATGACTCTCCCCATTCCTGTTCCACAATGGGAGCTCCCTTCCTTGTATTTTCATTTGTTTTTTTTTTTTTTTTTCTTATTGTTTTTTTTTTTTTTTTTTTGTTCGTAGCATAGGCACTCTAATAAAAAGCAAAGGTTCCTGGCAACAGGAGCCCATAACCAGCTTCTGCAGGCTACCTCTGCTGAAGACGGAACTTGGCTGAGGGAACCGCAAGAGGAGGAGAAAAGGCACCAAGATGAACTCTGCTTTTTCTCTATTTTGCTCCAGGAATTTGGAGGCTCCCGAAGCCCTGAGGTGTGATCTGGGGGATCAGAGAGCAGGATGAGTTGGGATACCCCAGCTTGCTGCTCTCCTGCGGCTCCGTGGAAGGACTTTGCTGCCTGGGACAGTTGAAGTGGAATCTTGCCTCTGCCACCAGTGACCTGTGTGAACTTGGTCAGCTTCCTTAATGAGCTGATGACCAATTGAACCTCAGTCTCCTTTCCTCCGACACCACCAGATTCCCAGGTTTTCTCCATCTCTCAGAGAGGAAGTGATAACGTCTGTGTGAAGTATTGCACTTCACGCAGGAGAGGCACGTTCAATGACTATCACTTCCTTTCCCATTTCTAAGGACCGTGGCCCCACTGATGAGTGTAAGAGGAAGCAAGAACCTCATGGAAGTTTTTTCCTGGGAAAGCTGAATATACACTGACATCACTGGACAGAAACAAAAATTCTCTCTGCGTCTCTTTGGAAGGAAATCATTCAAATCCTTCCTCATCTGTAAAATGAGGAAGTTGGACTCTGTCGGTGGAGTGCCACCGGCGTTTTGAATGGGCAGTTTGCCAGCGTGTGCGACTGTCTCATAGATAAGAGCGCGTGTAGCATAGCTGTCCTGCCTGCTAATGGCCCACAGCACCCGCAGCCTTTGCAACAGCTCACTGTCACACTCTGAGTGGCCCCCGGGGACACTGTGCTCTATTCTGGTTGAGGACCCCTCGTGGGGTTCCCAGTTCTAGCAGTCCTCATGGATCCCTGCCGCCCTTTCCCCAGAGCATGGGGCACCATGAGTCAGGCTTCCTGCCTGCAAACAGCCTCTGCGATCGAGGCTCTGCTGGGAGGCCCACAGTCCCTTGTCAGGCCCAGGCTTCCAGGACTGGTCCAGCAGGCCACCATCCTTCCTCACCGCTGGTGGCCGATTTCAGCCTGGCTCCCGCATCCTCACCTGGCACGTGCTGGCCGAGGAGCTGCATGGTTGGGAAGAAGTGACGCATCTTGGCTTCTCCTTGGTGTTCTGTCCGCACGTGGCTCCAGGTTGAAAGGTGCAATTTAAGTCTTGTGTCCCATCTACCCAAGGTCAGGCCCCTATGACCAGGAGTTGAAAGTAAAATTAGAAAAAATCATTACTGACGTTTAGATGTCAGGACACGATTTCAGGGACAGGAGACGCTGCATTCAGAGGTCTGCAGACAGACTAAGAACCTGGTGCAATATTGGCACTTCGTAATGTTAATAATTGGGACGTGACACTTTAGCGAGGAGTGGGACTTGGAGGAGTGGGACTTGAGTGGGGCCTGCAAGATTAACCTCAGTAATGCAGGTAATCGTTAACTGGGCAACCTACCTGGCAGAGTAAAGCACTGGGGGCTTAGATGATGGTCGCTCTGGCTTGAATGACCTGAACAGACCAGGAGGGTTCAGCATGGCTTTCTGAAGAATGCACGGTGTAGAATCCTTGAATTTAATTCTGTGATTTTGGAGTGTGCAAATGGTGGGAAGAACGGACAGCAAGTGACATGCCCTGAGGCCCTGGCAGGGATGTAGCCTGCCCACCTGGGACTTATGCCGTGGTCTGCAATCATCGGGGGAGGCGGGCAATAGACGCTTCAAGAGCTACTAAGGTTGACGTTGCTGTCAGGACTGCGGTTTATTGCATTCCATTACCAAGGGGTATTGTTCAGACCCATTCCTGCTTTGACTGGGATGTTTGAGATGAGGAGATGGGTGGATGGGAGGACAGACGAATGGTGGGAAAGTGGATGGAAGGAAGGAAGTATAAAATTGGAGTGTTTTGTGCAGTACTGGGCTTCATACTTCAAAAAGGAGCTGTGAAACAGAGAAAAGCAGAGAGTGAAAACAATCAAGAAAGATTCATAAAAGAAAAAGGAAAAAACAAAAAACAAAAAACAAAACAAACCTCTTCACTCCACCCTGTATGAGCTGGGATGTGCTCAGAGCTAACATTGAAGGATGTGCGTAATGCCAGCTCTGGCACAGCCACAAACCTCTTGGATTTCAGTCCGAAAATCAAAATGCTTCAAGAAGGTAGTTTTAACACAAATTAAAAGGAACATTTCTTTTCATTCTATTAAATTATTATACGGAACATGAGGTAGTTATGGGTCGGAATTATTACTGGGACTAATGGATGAGATTCACACGGAGGCAGGTTTAGCAGGAAATTTATCATTAAAAGACTGTCCAGTGATGAGGTGGACTTGGTGGTGACTTCTTGAACTCCTGGTCATCGATAATGAATTGTTAGGCAGGCAGTGAAAGTGATTCCTGCATTGGGTCAACGTTGGGCCAAAGACCTCTCAATTCTCGTTTTAATTCCCAGGTTTTATGTTTCTAGAATCAAGAAGGACTTAGATAAATTCTTATGTGGCTGATCCCATTATAAGTCCTTACTGGAGGCTGAAAGACAGTATAATACAGATTTCTGGAGTAGTGTCAAGGGGGAAGAATGGGGAGAAGAACGGGGTAAAAGGATGCTCACTAACATGTCCTGTGCGAGGACTTGTGCTGAGGTTTACATGGTCTCGTTCAGTCCTCACAGTCACCCTGTGACTTGGGTGTGATTGGCATCACTCTTACAGATGAGGAAACAGATGCTCAGAGAGGCGAAGTAACTTATCTGAGGGGACACGGTCAGTTAGCAGCACAGATGGGGCTTTTGCCAAGCCTTTTTGAAGCCGAAGTCCAAGCTCCCTCTGCCATGCCACACGCCTCTGGAAAGTGCCCTTGTCTGGAAATTCCCTGGGTGCTGCTGTCCACGTAGCTCTGGCCAGGTGGTCCTTGGGTCGTAAGTGATGCGACCTGCCTTACCTTCTGCTGTCGTGACCTTGAGGCAGGAGGGCACATGGTTAGCGTGCTGAGCTGTTCGAGGTGTTCCCTCGCTGCTGCACTGCAGAATAGGTACCCCCTCTACCAACCGTCCCCTCAACAAATATATCACCTAAAAGTTATAATTGGGAAACATCCTATTGCTTATAAATTTTTGATATCTTATTTTGACTTGGAAGTCAGGAAACCAGTTTCCTGTCCCTGGGCCAGCTTTTATTCTTTCTGAGACCCAGTTACTTTATTTTAAAAGGAAAAGAAAGAAGAAAAAGCTAAATTATCTCTAAAGTTTTAAAAATTATACACATATTTATTATGTAATATAGAATTACACACGAATTATATATCTATATATGTATATATTCAAATACACATACTTCTATTAATGATTAATATTTAAATCAACATCTGCTTATCTATACTAAGATCAGCTACAGTGATAAAATTATCCAATAATCCAAAGATAGAAAATAGTTTAATAGCAACTGTTTGACATTATTTAGAGATCTGGCTACAGTTTTGCTTAAAATAGTGATAAAATGAAATTTTACTTCCTAATAGCACCCTGACTGGGTGGTACAATCCTAGGAGGTTTGAAGGAAATTCCCTCGAGTTGGAACAAAATCATGTGCAAAGTATGGCCACCAGGCACTAGTGGCCCACAGTCACGTGGGCTCTGGGGTCAGACAGGCCCGGGTCTGGGTCCTGACTCTCTCACATTCCTGGGCTGGAGTCATCTCAGGCAGGATATTTAACTTCTCTGAGCCTCAGTTTCCTCACTGGGAAATGGGGAGAATAGGACCTGTCTTGTAGGATGGTTGGGGACGAGACTTGTGCACAACCGTGCTCCGCAGAGGGCTGCTGTCATTGTCATGCAGGTCATTACGTTTGTCCATAGCAAGGAATCAGGGGCGTGGTCAGAGTCTCGTCTCTTGCGGGGTTACAGAGGAACCCTTGCCAATCATTTGAGGAAGAGGCAGATCATCTTGACAGTAGAAACGAAGGTCTCAGCCTCTGGAAAAGCCATGTCCATTGCTTTTAGCCATTCCAAGGAGGGTCCAGGGCTTCCCCTGCCTCTGGAAATTAGCCCCCAGTCACCAGCTCCATCCATCTCTTCCTGCCCTGTTCCCAGAGTGCCCTGGAGACCAGCGCTCCAGCCAGGAGGGGGTTAAAACCAACATTTGCAGATAAAGAGGTAAACATATTTACATTCCTCTCTTCACACTTCATGCATATGTCATGCAGTGAATAGTTTTAGAGGTCTGTTTGCACTATCTCTCCAGAATTTTTACAGTCTGGAGGACACAAAATCTCTATAAAGTGACTTATTGAAATAGAAGCAGATTGGTAAAACCGTTTCCCTCTTATGAACTGTGAAGAATGATCCTCTAAATGAAATCAGGAAGGAACTGGACAGAATCTTGTTTAATGGTCTGACAAAATGAATCACAACGATTCCAGACATCCATCACTGCTAAAAGGGAACCACAAATGATCTGTGAACCACTATATATTGATTACCCATGTAGTACAAGTGTCGGATTTAATGTTCACACACCATAGAGAGGCGGCAGGGACAGATGGTGCCTTAACTCTTCTTTGATAGATTTTAATGGTGAAATATTGATTTCTATCTGGCCAAGGCCTGCTGTTAGGGGCCAAAGTCATTTGTTGGGTATTGCCGGACACCCAGTCGGCCCGGCGTAATCAATCATTTTTGGCAAGGCAGGTGAAAATTCAGAGGGAAGCACCTTGGAACCCAAACTGGTGTGTGATGTGTCTGAATCCAGCCACCTAGAGAAAGAGAAAGAGCAAGCGAGAAAGAGAGGGATGGGAGAGAGAGAGAGAGAGAGATGAGAGAGAGGAGTCTTGGAAATGGTGCTTGTAAAGAATTATTAATGATAAGACATGTTTACTGAGGAGAGTCGCAGCGAATCAGAGCTGACATGAAATAGTCTGGGAGCCTCGTGGAGAAAATGAGCCTCTTGCTAAGAGGGACTATATTTTATTTAAACATCCTTCTAAGGCTGAGAACTCAGGTAATCTGTTGTGTTACAAGCCACTGGCTGTTCTTGCCATCCAGAGAGATAACACTGAGACGCTAATAGGAACACATCAATCACAATCAGGCTGCAATTCCAGTGGTGTCTCTCCTCCCAGCTCCTCTTTAAGCTCCTTAATATCGGTGATAACATAGTTCGGGGGCTGCTGAGAGGGGCTCTCCCCTCTGAGGGTCATATTCATAAAGTGAAGAGCCTGCCAAGTCAGCACCCAGGGAAACTGATTCATGACGGGGACTTCGGCACAGGGAGGGAGGGAGGAGCATGGAGGACCCCCGAGGGCTGGAACCCAACAGGAGAATTTTCTGTCATCTGTTGCCCCCATCCCTAGTTTTATGATGTCGCTCCTACATCCTTCCTAAGAAGGGTGTGAGTATGTGTGTTACGTGTAATTATCAAGTAACAAGACTCATTCTCTCAGGCAGCTTCTAAATATGGTCTAGAAGGCAGTCCCCACATGGTGCATGCCACGTTTTAAGTGATGGCAACCTCCTGGAAATGGGTGTATGGCTTCCTGAGGAAAACCTGGGCGGGGGACATGTGAGGTGGGTGGGGGCAGGGGGATGTCTGCAGAGTTTCCGCAGCTTTGTGCCGGTCTCTAACCTATCGCCTGCGAGGTCGAGCAGCTGGTTTGTCTTTCCCAGAGGCTACGAGCTCCTAGGGGTGGCAGGTGTCTAATTAATTGTTGTATCATCAGTACTAACACACGATCTTGGGAATCACAAGATGTCCAATATGTGATTATGGCTGAATACATAAATGCAGGTGTTTTGTGGTGAAAAGCAGTCAGTCACACTGCTTTGCACCTTTTGAGTGTCCATCTAAATGTATGTATTGGGTATGCAAACATACCCACTCAGGAAGGAATGCACTGACCATATAAAGCCATGTAGCACATTTCATATTTATTGGTGTGATTTCCTTTCTACGAGACAGCATAGGACAGGATGACAGCCTGTACTCTAGAGCCAGACTGCTTGGATTCAAACCCTGGTATCACCACTTCCTAGACGATGACTTTGGACAAATTGCTTCAACTATGTGTGCCTCAGTTACCTCATCTGTGAAATGGGGATGATAGTACATCTATTTCAAGGATTCAATGAGTTAATAGATGCGAAACATTTATAATAGTACCTTGCATACAGTAGGCATAAATGTCTTATATATTTATGTTTCAATGATATATTTAACCATGGCAATATATTCAAAATCTTTAAATAAATGAATATGTATGTATGCATGGAAATGCATCAGCCTTTGGATGGTTGATATTAGGAATTCCAGCCAGTAGTTGCCTCTTTCTCAATGATATAGAAACGCCAATCCTGAGAGCAGTAAGCTGAATTTGGTGATGGTTTGGAAGGGTGGCAGGTATCTTGATTCACTGTAAATTCATATACTCTCTAGCTACTTCATATTGGGGCTTCAGTGAGCCTGTACTTGCCTGAGTGTGTCTCCTAAAATCTGTTCGCAGGGGTGCGTGTCTCTAAGCTGAACAAGCGTATATGTCGGAGCAGACATACAAAGCTCTTCAGGCAAGACAAGGCCAGCTATGCTGACTGCCACAGCTGTGCAACCTGTCCCAGATGTGTGCGCCGCAGGCGGCAGATCCCGTTTAGATTATCTTGCTTACCTAATGATTTTTGCTTCACTGCCTTGCTCGATTGTGTTCACCGGGACGGCAGGCTATTAAAATGTCAAGGCACATTGAATTGTTGTTATCCAGGAGAGAGACCTTTCCAATCAACCTGTGTTCTAGGGGGATTGCATAAACTCCAAGAAGGCGATTGGAGAAAGGCTTTATGGCTTTTTTACATAAGACGGGGGTGATGGGGGCAGCCTGCGAGAGGGCCCTGGGAAGGGGAGGAGACATGGGACACCAGTCTGGGTCTATGGCAGCTGGAGTGTGCTATTGAAAATGCCAGCTCCTCAAACGGGCTGGTGGCTCCTCGCTTTTGCCACCAACAGGGCTGTGCTGTGCGATGTCCTGGTTCAAAGAAGGGAGAGGGGGGAGCTGATTCACAATGGGCTGTGGGGATGGGGCTGAGAGCCTGCAGTGCAGCGAACCAGGCGTGGGGTTCAAGGAGTTACATTATACGGCAGAATAATATACCAAGGGGTTATATCTCTGATTGGCAGGAAGGGCTGGAGAGAAAAACCGAGGTTTCCCTGTAGCTATGCCTGCCCCAGCTCTGTAGTGGGCCGCGTTCTCTGCTCCACGGGAGGTGGTGGGAGCTGCCGAGGGTGGTGGTGACAGTGCTGACCCATCGACCACAGTGTTACCCACGTGGCATCTCTGGCCCGGTCCCGGCTGCGCCAGCTGGGACAGTCCGGAGACAGTCTTGTTTTCATGCCGTCAAGTCTCATTTGGCCAAGGATTTATTGTCCTTCAGGGAGAAGGGGAGAGAAGGGGCAAAGGACGTTCTCATAAAGTATCCAGCGATCAGAGCCGCCGAAGTCTCCAAGCGGACACTCAAACTTGCCTGGATTGACTTTTCCCCTTTGTTCACATTTGTTAGCTTTCCCCGGCCACGTTTGTTTCATTTCTGTTTTAGAGGGAGGGCTTTGTTTCGCTTGGGTCTGGCTCTGCTCGAGCTCCATTGGTCCCTCCCCCTCGTCTGGGGCATCATTGGCTGCACCCGCTCGGTGGCAGCGGGGAGACGCAAGGCGCCCTCATCTTTGCCGGCTTTATCAGCTAGAGTTTCATCTGCGCGCGCGCGCACGGACACATACACGCACACACACACACACGCACACACGCATGCGCCCACTCATTCCTCCGCCGGTCTCCCTGCCTCCGTCCCAGTAAGTCTCGCCCGCCCGCCCTCATTCTCAGGTTCCTTGCCCTTCCTCTCCGGCGGTGCCCTCCCGAGCTGTCCACTTCAGTTTAGTTTCCGGTCCCTGGGGCAGCCCATTTCTCTGGCTTAAACCAAATCACACTCACACGTTTCCCGCTTCCCGTCCTGCCGGCTTCTCTCTCACCTGTCTGAACACGTGCAGAGCATCTTTGTAAGGCTGCGGTCTGACCTCCCTGTCCTTGGGTCCTCCTTCCTGAAGGTGGATGATGGGGTCCCGGGAGTGTCTCTGGCCCACCAGGCCTGCTTCGGTCTGTTCCCCCCAGCTCCTCCCTCCTGGCGCACTCCACCCGGAGCCCCTCCTAATGCTCTCTCCTTCCCTCTTCCCAGTGGGGTGAGGTGCCCTGCACTGGAGTTCCCAGCGCCCCTTTATCAAACCCTTAGCTTTGTCACACTTTATTGATATGTCTTGAACCGCTACAAAGTTGGTAGTTCATTCATTAAATCAACTAATATTTATTGAGTATGAACTCTAAGTATTAACTCTGAGAAGTATTGCTGGGATGTAATGGGAGGAAAACCAGATACACATCTCCTCTCCTGGCGTCTAACAAATCCTCTCTGGGTTAGGCACCGTGTGATATTTATTTCTGTAACCCGGGACATACAGGTGCTCAGTAGATTTGAAATGGATGGGTGAACGAGAGAGTCAATCCTCTCCCTGCCCACCTGAGCGACCTCGCCAGTGTTTTCTGATTGCTGTTTCATTATGCAAAACACAAGCTCACTGTGACAAACTAGACGAAAGATTTTACCTTCTCAAATTCCTGTGTATTTATAATCTCCTCGGGTTCTCCGCAGCCACCCTAGGCGGTGGCTTTGGTCCACTTCTAGCGTTCTGTTGTATTAAGGCTCACTGAGTACAAAGCTGAAGGTCAAGTGCCCAAGAGTGATGGAGCCCAGACCAAACCTGACCCTGGGCCCTGCACTCCTGGCCCTGCAGTCTCTACCGGACACACAGGCCTGCATGTCCCCGTCTCTTGTGCCTGCCACGTGTCTCCCAACCAGAATTTCAGGAAAATGGTTGAAGGGGGAGTTGGCTGATACCCAGTTTCCATTTATTTCTCTTTCAGATTCCTCTTGGACCCTCCCTGGCACAAGAGGTCTTGCTTAAGAGGAAGGTTGGTTTAATGGCTATTAAAATATGATTTCTTTTCTGAGTGTCTCTTTAGCTCCTACCCTGGCCCCCAGTTATCTTTCTGAAACATGGTTGGCTCAGCTTTCTCTTGATTGGATTTTCTGATGGCCACCACGAGCCTGAGGCTGAGTGCCATGTCCATCACCTGGGCCAGGTTGTCTCTGTGATTTGATTTGTTTAATTAGTATAACTGGAAGGCCCCCTGTACCTGGGCTGGGAGGGACAGACAGCTCCCCAGGTGCTTTCTGGACACTGTGCTAATGGCAGCTCCGGTTCCATGCCAGGGACCTTAACCTCATCTACTTGTGGCATTTGAGACCCTCGCTGTGTGGGCAAGGCCAGAGATTCTGGGCCCCCGGGTAGCCTGTCACATGGGGAAGATGGAGAAGGGGCATGGGAGGGACGGAGTCACATGAGCAGATGGCATCGGCTCTGTTGTATATCAGCTGGGCCTACCTGGGTTTCATCTCCATGAGTTGCAAGTATCTTAGCTGTAAAATGGGAATAACAAAGACCACCTTCCAGGATTGCCACAAACATTCAAGGAGACAACGTCTGTAGAGTGACCATCTTGATGTCTTGCATGGAGTGCCCCCCACCCCAACGTGTCTCTGATGTAAACACACACACAAACGCAGACCCGTGTACACACACGCACACACCCACAGTCACAAGGTGCTTCACCTCAGCCGGGCACTCTTGTTCTTTCACCTCCATCTCACCCTCTTTTAATATTCCTTTAATTCCCTCCCTCCTGCGCCTGCCTTGTCTTCCCTCCTGCGCCCCCTTTCCAACGTCCTCTTTGTGTTGGGCTTGTGTCCTGTCCTTCTCATGAAGTTTTCTCATCATGTGGGCTCTCCCTGATGACAGCGAGTCATGGGATCTGGACCTCTTTGGGCAGATGCTCCTTCTCTGTCACCAGGAGCAGCTTTCCTAGCTGCGTGGTCCCATCTTGTAGTCATTCACCTCCATGTCTGACCCCATTAGACCCTGGGCCCCTTGAAGCAGGGACTGTGGTTCGGGAGTGAACAAACAGGGGAGACTTGAAAAGGTCTGGTGGAAGGAAAAAGAAAAGGAAGGACTCTTTATGATCTGAACTCAGTCTTATGAACCCCAAGGAGGCACATGGCCAGCACGGCCCCTACGCACCTGGATGCAAATTCAGAAGAGGTGCTTCCTTCAGCCAGGGGACTGGCTTGCCCAGTGGGCTGGGTTTCAGACCTCACTTGTCTCCCTGGCTCTGGTGCAGGGCACGGTGCACAGCGTATGTGTTACGCTGTGAAAGGAGATGCAGATTCAGCGCCAGCTGCCTGGGCAATGGTCTGACTCATGTTATCCATCGAAGTCACCCAGGCTTCTCATGTTAAAGAAGGCCCTGCCCTTGGCCTGCTCCATGGCCATGGAGCTGCAGCAAGGCACCCACAGCTCCTCTTTAGGGTAACAGAGCTGCCTGCAAACCCCAGGAGACATGAAGTCCTCTGACAATGGCAGTCACCTTCATGGCAGTGGGAGGAAAGAACGCCACCTCCCAGCATGTACCCTGAAGGTTCCCCTCACTGGATGACCTTTCTGCTTTAACATTATTGTAGAGGATGACAGTCGTATGTATGGCCACGTTAATGCTAGCTTATATGAATTAAAACTAGTGCCTCTTTAAAACACCATGTAGTGCTTTTTGCTCCCCACAAGTCTCCATGGGGGAGCAAAAGTCTCCCATTTCACAGATAGGGAAGTTGAGGCTCAGAGAAGTGAGAGTGATTTGAAGACCCTTTCCAGCGCTCTGTGGTCTCCCCTCTCAGGGATGGGACCCGAGCTCTGCGGTCTCGCTCTGAGGACTCTCTTAGTGTCAGATGTCTTGGAAGGACCTAGCGGTTAGGTGGGAAAGGGCATCCCTGGGTTGGGACAGCAGATACGGTTTGAGGGACAGGCCGGGTTACAGCTTTGCTTGGCCAGCGCTCGGCCCATATCAAAACCATATGGACACTCCTGTGCTAGAACAGCATCTCTTTTCTTCTTGCCAAAGAACAAAAAAAGAGATTGGAACTTCGAGTTCCCAGGAGGCAGCACACACTTGAAGGGATTTTTCCCAATATAGCTTGCAGAAATATGAAACACTTTTGTCACTTTTTAGAGAAGCAGGGGAGGCAGAAAAAGGTCATATTTTCATCTCTTCAAGTTTCCAATAATAAAATGAAAAATTTTTTTTCTTAATAGCTCCTGCTCTTTCAATAAGTCTCAATGCTCTCAAGTTACTAATTTTTCCATGATTTCCTGAAATTGCAAGTCTCTTTCCTCCACCGAGAGCCGGTGTTTGCCACAGCCTCAGGCTGAGTCTACTGGCAAGTGACTTTTTAGATAACTTTTTAAAAATCCATTAAGAATGACAGCGTTGTAGGGACGGGGGTTGGGGAGAGGTGAACATATTCCACAAATCTACGCAGAAAACACAAGACAGACTTGAGTTCAAAAGACAGTTCTGCCACTTGTGCATCAATTTTTGGATTTCCATGAGCCTCAGTTTTTGCTGCAAGTCTAAGCGCATCAGAGGGACACCTTGGGGAATGAATGAAATGACATGAGCGAAGGCACAGGACAAGATCTGGTCCACACTGGGCTCTCCCTAGACATTTACCGCCCCCTCCCCAAGTCATTCTTGCCACCTTGATCCCCACTATGGGCTGCTCCCAAGGAACACTG